TAAAAGACTGCTGTTAGGCCAAGGAAACCTGCACTTGGCCTCTGCCCACATCAAAGAGCTGAAAGGGAAAAGGCAAGGATCAGTCAGCAGCCCAGTTTGTAACTCTAGAGAGAGGCAAGCCTGATGTTTGGCACTCTATAGTCACAAAGAGAATTTTTAATGTCTCCTGATGCCTCTTGCTTGACAACATCTGCAAAAATTGGCCAACCCAATATGACATTTTGGTATCTAGAATCAGGACATAACTCATTCTTGGAGTCCTTGTTCTGTTTCTCTGGGATGTGGCAGGGTTTGAAGATGATGATAACTGGTGGTTGGGGCATGGCTTGCTTTTATGCATTTATGATTACAGTCAATATGCAAACTTTATAGCAGTCTCTTGCCTTCTGAAAGCAGCCAGGGAATTTGAGGGCCATAGTGGAGAGGAAGGAGGAAGTATGTAAGTTTATAAGTTTATTGAGTACCAAAGATTTAGAAATTCAAAGTAGGATCTTAGAAACTGTTTTTTTTTTTTTTCTGGAGAAGCAAGATCACCTGGTATGGGCATATGAATTCCCAAATTCACAGAAACAGTGAGAGAGCCCTAATTTGGTTTCAGCCAGTGTTTTGTTCAACCCAAGAAAAGCACTGGCCTGAAATGTTTCTTTAACACAGTTAAGCACTGTTTTGTTTTGTTGTTGTTGTTTTTTTTTTTTTGTAAAAGAAATCTACATGAATCATGTTAACTCTGTTGATTTTGCTGCAGTATATTATTACTCTGTCAGAAGAGTCCAGAGAAAATAAAGTGATTTCTCATGCCAACAGGTTACTGACCTGCATGATTTCTGTGTGGCACAGACATTCCAAGGCAGCTTAGAATAAAAATCAAGATTTAAAAATAACCTCCTTAACTGCAAAACAAACCAGCCTTTTTGTCATTGTCTCCCTAAACCTTTCAGCATAAAGATGCTAGGCCCTTACCTTCCTCAACAGGTCAGCCAAATTGACTTGCTTCTCCACCTCTTTGCACTCCCTTCTCTTCATCTCCCCTTTCCAAAATGTCCCTAGCCACAGTCACTGAGTACCTACGCCTTCCTCCAAACCGCTCTAAGTGATACCCCATGTTTCCAGTTTTTCCACTCACTGCTACTTCAATTTTTTTATTAAGCACTTTCTCTATGCCAGTTACTGCACTAAGTACTTTATACATGGTATATCACTTAATCTTAAAAAAGCTCCCTATAGACCTCCTGCCCTTACCATCAGCATCCAGACCAAACTTTCTTCTGCCATGTCCTCTACTATTAGGATCATTCCCAAATTAACAAGATAATAGTTATTTATCTGACAAATTAATCTATGCTAAAAATGTTAAGTGACACCCCCCCTCAAATCATGTTATATAGATATCTGTAACCCCCTACATTGGCCTACTGGAAACCTATAGGTCTGATTCAGTACTCTTTTTTTAAAAACATTTTTTAGTTGTAGATGGACACAATAGCTTTGTTTTATTTATTTATTTTTTATGTGGTGCTGAGAATTGAACTCAGTGCCTCATGCATGCGAGCCAAGCACTCAACCACTGAGCTACAACCCCAGCCCTGATTCAGTACTCTTCATAATAATACCCTCTATTTCTCTAACTGGTAATTTTTTTTCACTTAATTACTAAATATTATCCCCTAGTTGTGTTGAGGTATTAATGTGGAATTTATCCACTGCCATAAAATACAAATGCATGTTTGAAGGTGCCCCTGAACTACTCCAAATTGTAGCCCTAGTCTATTATTTCTTTTCAGGTCCTGGCCCTGCTCTGACAAATCCTGTCTGGCTGACATGGGAAGTCAGAATAACCAGGTAATCTAGGGGCTGAGGGTAAAAGCAGACACAATAGGAAGAAAGCCAGGAAAGTCAAGTGAAGTGCTGAAAAGGCAATCTTCTCTACCTGTCTCACAACCAATACTCTAATGGTCTGAACCACAGGCCAAACCTATAGCCCAGCCACTCCTGGGAAACTGCTGAAACCCAATAACAATTCCCATCCCAGGCTGAGAGGCTGTGTTGTAGTCTTTTACCTTACCTGCCACTGGCACAATCTGGGGTAGGGAAACTGACCTGATTAAGCCTTATGACCAGGCTTTTCCATGAGACTAAAATACTGTGGTTCTCCCATCAGAAAGGCATGCCTCAAAGCATCTCTGAGCCCTCCCAACAGCACTACCACCAGTCTGACAGTGGGAGCTTCCATGGAGTAAAGCAGTGTCTCTTCTTATCGTGTACACTTGACAAGAAGAAAGGCTAACAGGAAGCACTGAGGTTAGATATCAGAATGGCAGGACTAGAAAAAAAATGTTAAGATCATCTAGATTAGTGGATCTTAAACTCCAGCATATCCTCTGGAGGACTCATTAAAACACAGATTACAAGGCCCCACCCTACAGAGTCTGACAGAAAGACTTTTCTTAACAAGTTCCCAGATGATGCTGACAATTCTGGCCCAGGGACCACACTTTGAGAACACTAACTTATTCTATGCATTTCACAGATAAGGAAATTGGGTCCCATAGAAAGGAAAGAACATGACCACTTTACTGATGTGGAAACTAATAAGCAGTTTAGTAACTTTCTCAAGGTCACACAAGTAGTAAGTGGTACTGACTTTTAAAAACCCAGATATCCCAATCCCATCTCTACTCTTCACTGTGCTACAGCAACCTTTAAGGGAATGAATTTTAGAGTCTATGTTTGTTCCTGGCACCACCATTTTCCTGCTATATAACCTGGTATAAATTATGCCATCTATGAAATGGAAGCAACAGCATTACTTATTTCTCGGAGTTATTATGAGAATATAATTAGATATTATACTTGAAAACACATATGAGTAAACACCACACAGTCCTGTGCCTCACCAGAGTAAGTACTCAGTAAATAGAAGTCCCTATTATCATTATAGCCAAAGTTGTTTTGTTGTTAAGGAAAGCTGGGGGACACCCTTTCTCTTAGCTTTATGTTCCCAAGTGAAGAGTAACGTTAATTAGCATAATAGTGTTGTCTTCTCTTCATCCCTCTTTTATCCTCCTCCTCAAGAGGAGGTAATTCTGACTGAGTTTAGGGAGCAGGAATAGGACATGTGTAGCCAGTAGGGGTCTATCTGCTTTTAGAAGAAATAAGCTCTAGTCTACTCATAGCTGTAAAATCCTTCTCATGAGGGAGGGAGGAATGGAGGGAAAAGGGAAATACTGAGAAATGATATTGATCAAATTATATTGTATATTGTGTGCATGTTCAAATATGTAACAACAAATCCCACCACTGTGTAAAATTATAAAGCACCAATAAATATGGAAAAAATAAAAAGAGTAAAAACAATCCTCCTTATGAGCTAGATCTGTAGTGTTCTTGTATTTCCTGTGCCTAGGTGGGGGTATCTGCCTAATTCTGGGGTTGAGAAGTAAGAAGCCCACTTGGCAGACATTCCTATGTCACTTTTTCTAGCACTTCCACTACAAATAAAACTCCTGATATCTACATGCTATTTGTCTCTCTCAGTCAGTTCAGAATGGGAAAAAGAAAAAATATATAGGTGTTTTTTATTAGATCACCTTAAACCCCTGTATTATTATTGTTCATTCATGTGAGATAGTGCAAGAGTTTATTCTAAACCTAAGTCTCCAAACTCCCACTTGAGTGCTCATTAATATCCTGGCTTCATTATATTGCAAATGTCTTCAGGGCTGCATCTCACTTGCTCCATTTTTTGCTGACTTTTATTAATATGTGTGTATATAAATATACACACACATACATATTCATACATATAGAAAAGGACACAGTTCAGAAGTATATAGCTCAGAGAATTTTCACAAACTGAAGCAGCACATGGTTCAATAACTAGCATACAAGAATTTCCCTTGTTCCCTTCTCCAGACACTATTCTCCTTATTTCCTTTTATTTTTTTTTAATAGAAAAAGAAACCTTCCATCAGTGGGCAAGTTATTTACATGCCCTATCATCACAGTCTTATGCCGAATTAGGGAATCAAATTAGACCTCTCAGTTTACATTTGAATAACCAATCTCCTCTCCACAAACTATGTGACTCAAACATCATGTAAATTCTTTCAGCATCATGTAAATATGTTCTGTGCATTCATGGGAGTTGCCTATGCAAGATTCAAAGCCATGCAAACACCTTCCTTTCATTTTCACTGGAAGCTATAGTTCCTTCAGGAGTGACTCCAACAGGTAAATTAGGAAATAGCCTCAAGCACCAAGGAAAAATGATCAAGAGTTCTTAAATGGGAGAGGTGACAGGACAGAGGATTAATGAGGTTTGTGAGTAGTGTTACCCACCTTCTTTTATTCTCCATTGGTGTATTATAATTATACAAAATAGATTCATTATGACATATTTGTACATGCACATAATTTTATCAGTCTTGTTCCCCAGTACCTTCCCTTTCCCTACACCATTTCTCCCCATGATTGATCCACTTGCTCAACTTTACTTACATACTTTCTTGACCTTTTAGATCTTGCAGTGTGCATATCACACCTACTACAACACTCCCTACCCCTCTCACACACCTCTGAAGAATGGTAACTACTGAATTGGAGCCCTATGCCAGGTAAAAATGGACACCTCATTAGTGTTTTTATCATGCAGGATATTAATTACTTAAACTCCATTGAACTCAGAGGTGACTAACATTTCAAACTGAGATCTTAAGTTACTAAGTTAATTCTTAGAAAATCCTTCAGTTGAGGCCTAGATGGAAACAGTATAGTTAAGGGTACTAATGGTTCTCTATTACCCTTAAAAGACCCAAACTCTTCATTTTAATAGACTTTCAGAGATCTAAATGACCTGCTCACAAACTCTCTACAGGTCTGAATCAATCAACCAACCAATCAATCAATCAACCTCTCCCCCTACCCTTCTTTCTCCTCTTCCTCCTTTTCCTCCCCGCTCTTTTCTTCTTCCTTTTTCTCCCCCTAACCTCAGTTATACTTACACTTCTTTCTGACATTCTCTTTCTTCATAATTTTCACAGGTTGACTACTGAGTCATTATAGACTCATCTTCAATGTCAATTCTTCAGAGAATCCACCTGTGATCACCTTTCAGTCAATTTCTCCTTTTTTTATCTTCTTCAAAACACATTGCGATGAGCAATTGCATTCCTTGTGTATGTGTTGACTATCTCCCCCAATAGGAAGTAAACTCAGTGACAGCAGGGATTCATCTTATCTTTTCATCACTGTATCTCAACACATAGAACATTGCTTGTCACATAGCAGATACAGTTGTCCCTGGGTATCTGTGGAGGGATGTAAATGGACACAATCTGAGGATGCCCAAGCCCTTTAGATAAAATGATAGGTGATATTTGCATATCACCTAGCCACATCCTCTTGTATCATGTGTGTATGATGTAAATTACCTCTAGATTACTCATAATCCCTGATATAATGCTATATAAAAAAGTTGTTTAACTGTATTATCTGAATAATAACAAGAAAAACATTTACATACATGTTCAGTACAAACACAATTTTCCTTCAATATTTTTGATCCATAGTTGAATTTGCCCATATGGAACCCACGGATATAGAGGGCTGACTATACATGATAAATATAATTTTGAATGAATGCATGAACAGCTCTAAACCATCTGTATCACCATAAATTGCCAGATGCAATTCATGATGATGGTTTAGTCATCTCTGAAAAGCATGAATTTTGAGAACAGGTCTAAATTGAAGTTTATCACCTCACTAATAAAGCTGGGTGAACTTAGCTGAGTATTTAGGAGAATACAAATATGTAAAGAGTTCCTCTATAAAGGTGTGATAAACTATAAGAAAGATCATGGAGTGCTAGGAGGGACTAGAAAGGGGGGTATCATGTCAAGGCTGAAAGGGTGACAGGAGTCAGCTGCTCATAGAAGGAGAAAGACAGTTACATAGAGAGGGATTCCAGGTATCTGTAACTTTTCACTGAGGGACACAATCAGCCCATGACATCCTGCAAGGAGGAAGCTCGGAAAATAAGTATACTAACTTCACTCTCCTCCCTCTGATGTCCCACTAGTGCGCCCTGTTAGCCTAAACTATTAGGAATACAGAGGACAAGGAAGCCCAGTGATGGAAGCCATGTTCGTCAGTCTTCTAGAACACAGAATAGAGTATAAAAGGATAGAGAACAGGTCTGGAGATACAAAGAAAGATGCCTAGCGTAGTTTGAAAAGGGAAAGAAATAAGCATCTATGTAGCACCAATCATATTTTAGGCATAATTTAGAACTCATTTCTTCTTCTGTAAAATCCATAATTGCTATCTCACATAGTTGCTGTGATGATTAAATGATATAACATATGTAAAATCTAGCACACAGTGGATTAGAACAAAGGAGACCTCAATTCATAGCCACATTCTTACATTCCAAAGTTTCCTCTTGGACTTACTTTTACTCTTCTCCATATCCATTGATGATTATTTTTGTCAAGATGTATCTAGACATTCCCTTGCCTCTCTGCTTTCCCCACTTATGAACTATGCAAATCAAGCAAGTAGAGCAATAACAAAATATTCTGAGGCATTCTGAAATCACATGGAAAAATCACCATTTAAGCTTCCATTTCTTTAGTGACTGGTCTTTTGCTTCCTGCCTATCATCTGTCTCCTTCCATTGCCTCCTGTTGTTGTGAAGAAATCAAGCTAAAGTGCTATAGGCATGGACTTTAAGTCATAATAAATCATTCAGATGTCAAGAGCCTTAATCTGCCAATCTGAGGGCAGAGAGATTGATTGGAAGGTTCTAAAAGCTTCACTTATCATTTTTAAGGGCTTGCTCACTCTCTCCCCTTTTTTAACTTACTTTCTTAAGAAAGATTGGGAGATGCATCAGTGTCCTCTCTTCTGTGGAAAGCTAAGTGAGTCAACACTAAAGGAATGTCTGCTACAATTCTACTAGGAAAATTTTAGTCACTTCTGGAGTAAGCACTAAAAGGTACTATGGAAGTCATCTAATTCAATCCTTTCATTTTACAGAAGAACTGAGGAGAACAAAGGTGCCATGTCACTGTGAAAACTCACAGAAAGCATTGGCAGAAATGAAACAGATCTCCAAGTCTTCTGACACTTACCACAGTGTTCTTCTCAGTAGACCAAAATGATCCCTCATTGGAATTCAGCATTTCAAACAAGAATTTAGGTAGCTAATTAAAACCTGTAAAAAGAAAATTAGCCAAGTAAGGAATGTATATGAAACTGGGACTATATCTCAATGATAGAACACTAGCTTTTTTGATCCCTAGTACTGCAAAAATGTATATTAAATAAAATAAAAATACATGGGTCTTCCTTTTATTTCTCACAGATACCTAGAAAAGATGAGAGAATTTACCTACTAATCAGGATCCTAGCCGGAAACAAGCAAGAACATTCAAATCAAGCAATTTGAGGAGAATTTAATAAAGGTACTATTAACAAAGTTGTAGTAAACTACAAGAAAAAGGTCATGGAGTCTTAGGACAGGGTGGAGGGGGGTTATCAACTCAGGCCTGAAAGGGTGACAGTAAGGAGCTACTTCTAGAAGGATACACAGAGTTACATGGAGAGGGATTTCAGGGGGTCTATAACTTTTCACTGAGGGGCACAATCAGCCCATAGCATCTTGCAGTGAGGAAGCTAGAGGAGCCAATATCATAACTTCACTCTCCTCCCTCTGATGTCCCACTAGTGTTCCCATTGGCCTAACCCACTGGGAACCAGGAGACAAGGAAGCCCAGTGATGGATTCCATGTAGGTCCATCTTCCAGGACATGGAATAGGGTAGAAAAGGGTGAAGAACAGGTCTAGAGAAGCAAAGGAAGATGCCTAGTGTGGTTTGAGAAGGGAAAGGAAATAAAATTTTATGGAGCACCTATCATATATTGGAGACTATCTTTGAAAGTTTTTACATTGTATTTATTTCTCACAACAAATATTTGTGGTAAATATTATTTCCTACATTTTCCAGGTGAGAAAACTGAGAGCAAAATCATTAGATCACTTTCTCAAGGTCACACAGCTAGTATTTTAAACCAAGATGACAATACTTGTATTCAAGCCTAGGCCTATTTGACTACAAAGAGCATGCTCTTAAATACCTAAATGGTTGAACTTAATAACAGTCAGAAATGTAGAAGAGTTTCCTCCTGTGTTCTAGCAGGTTAAACAAAGGAGAAAGAACCATGGGAGCTGTTCAAGCAGCTCTAGTTATGTAAAGAATGCTACACCCACTTCTTATTTCCTCCTTAGACACCTCCAAAATACTTAGTCTGTGTCTTCCTTTCTTATAAGCCCCTACTGAAATGTTAATGTACAACTAATTTGGTAATAATAACAATATTAATTGATATAATTTTAAGGTGTAACTACTTCCAAGGGAATCTGCATTTAATAGAGAATTTCTCCCTTATCATCTCACTCTCCTTCATATCTTTCCCAGAGTAAAATACATGTAAATACTTCATAATATATTGGAAAGGCTGATAGAGCCTATGTCAGTCTATAAAATATCAGGGGATGCAAATTTATACCCTTTGACTCAATTACCAAAAAAAAAAAAAAACAATGTTTTTCTATATCTGACTTCATCTTGTTCTGGAGTCTCAATTCCCCCAATATCTTGCAGGTCAATCTTTAATCAATTTAAAGTTAAGACATCCTGTTAAATTAATGCTGACTCTATCTTCTCAAGATATCTTCCCTTCTCCTTCCCTAAGATGCCATCAGAACATGAAGGTAAAGCTTGTGCATCCTCAAAGTAGCTGGTACAGGAGCCTTTGAACTATATGTTGGTCTTATTCTTCTATGACCTCTGCTGAGATGTCCCTAATCATGGTTGCTCAGTGTGAGTCCTGCACAGGTGCCCACTGCAGAGTGTTTCAGGTAGACCCAGCCTTTGGGAAACCATGCCAAGAGCCATTGCTAAGGACTATGAACCTTGCTATTACTCGGATGCAAATGTTACTATACTCCCTTCTCATCCAGATCCCTGATATCTTACTTACCTGTCCTTTCTTCACACTTGCTTCTACCACCAGGGCATGTGGGAACTTAAGATATCCTCTACAACCCTTCAAGACCAAGTATATGGCCCATAGTCCTCTGTGTCTTATCATGTCACAAAGGTGGCATTTCTAGTCAACTGTGTTTACTCTGTGTTGATAATGGGGTATCATGTGAAGTGACCCTCATTATAAGTCATAAATATAAAAGGCAATATCAGTCCCTTTCATTACTTAGAGTGTTGGGGTCAGCATCATAAGCCCAGGCGCATTCCTCCCTAAATGTTCCCAAGGTCCTCTGAGCATCAAAATATCCTTTGGTTTCTTGAATGGCAGAAATTCCCCCTTATGTTACTATTCCCCATCCTCTCTATGCAATGACTAACTGTAAAGTACTATTTTAAGATTGCCACATTTTGTTCTTGGTTTCTAAAGCAAATCTTCGCCTTCATCAAAGCCTGGCTTTTGAATCTACTATTCACTCTGAAATAAAAAAGTTTCAATTTGAAACTCAGAGCTAAGCAATGACACGTTCATTCTAGGTCTTATCTGTATTCCCCTGAAGCAATAATTGATTCATTGAGTCATAGGAGAACAGGAAAACAAGGAAACATGTTATCAGAAGCAAGTGACAAAACAATTTTAGTATCACAAAAATATACAGGACACACTTTCATTCTCGTATTTAAACAAAAAACACCTATCATGTGCCAGGCTGTGTTTTGGGTGGCTATACATAGTGAACAATAAAATGCCCCAGGTCATTTTCTAGTATTACAAGTTTGCTATAAAACAAAACTATATACAAGCCACAGGACATCATTTTTTGCTCCATTTAGTACAATGGCATGCCAGCATGGCCAATCCTTTCTTTATTTGATCTGAGAATATTGTGCCAACTTGTTTTTTTCTGGGTAACTAGGGGTTAACCTGAAACCCCTATTATTTTTCAAAATTTATTACCAAAAATCTTATGAGTCCAATTTCCTGCCTTAGTGAGTACAGTATAGTAAGTTACATTAGTGAACAAAATTCAATATTTGAAGATTAAAGATATTGCAGGGTCTTGGAGTCATCTTTCCAACCATCAATGGCATTGGCCCAGACTAGTAATGTAGTTGTAAAAGACTTAAGAGATTGTGTTTAACTCATGGAGAACCTACAATACACTAAAAGTCTGTCAACAAAACCCATAGAAGATGAAGATGGTTATCTTTTAATACACCTCTTTCTGTAAATATATAATTCAATAAAAAACGTTCGGTTAATTAAGAGTCCTTGTTAAAGCACCTTATATTAATCACTTCAATAGTTGTTTGAAGCTCATCATAATGAGATTTTGAATTTCATCATATAAAATTTTACTTCAAATAAAGCTCTAAAGTTCTTAGACATTCCAGTAAATCTTATTATTGAAAGATCTTTAAGGTTATTCACCATTACCATTTTGCTTTATTAAGCCTACAATGCAAGGATTTTTTATCTTTACAAATATATCTTTTACAAAGTGCTTATGAACTCTTTATAGCCCCAAACTACTTATCATGGAAGTAATGTTATTCTTAAAATTTTCCTGATTTTATTGTCCTATCCTTATATTGTTCAGAATCAGTACCATTCTTTCTTTAATTTGAGAGAAGCTGTCATTAGTTAAAGGGAATTTTTAGACAGGTCACTGGGGGTGTTTTGCCCTTCCTCTCTAAAAGAATAATTACATTTTCTACTTAATGAAAAGCTTGTGGTTAAAAAGCATCTCAAGTTATAGCCAGACAAAAACATGAAAGGAAGAGTCACTTACATGCATATGTGGGATCTCATATCTCTTTTATTTTAATTGCTAAACAAATTTTGCAGACTTGAAAAGGGCTAGCTTGACAGGCCTGGAGCAAAAGCCCTTGCTTATTAACAGTTATAGTCTTAACCTATTAAAAAGTAATATGAGGCCAAAAAAGGGAGCAACTGTGGAGTTTCTGAAGAATAAGAGTGTGCAAGGAAAGGTACAAAACTGAAGTTAGCAAGTAGGGCAAATGCCTTAGCCAAGAAGAGAGCAAAGCACTCCTGTTTTCTTCCCATTTCCTCTCTTAAAACAAATAGGAGTTGACCCTATATTATTAAAACAGTTTTGGGAACTAGGGAAGAAGTATCTCCTTCTGAGCTCAACCCAAGTCCCTCCTCCTAGGATTTCATGGGGAAAATTATAATTATTGATTTCTGTGCATAGAGGGTGGATCACTCCCAGATGACAATGAAGGAGGGTTTGAGAATGTAATAGAGAATTTATGAACAGTAGCTGAGCATTTCTAGTAGTAGCAGAAGCAGGGAAAGCCACATGGTATATGGATGAGTGCCAGCCAGCAGAAGCCAAGAAGCTCAGCAAAGGGCTTGTCTGCTAATCACATTTAAACATACACCTTGCCAGAAAGCCACGTCCCAAACTCTCCAAAAAATGCTCACTTCAGGGGTCAATTTTTCCAAGACCTTTCAGTGAAAAGATTTTTAATGGAAATATAAGCATCATATGAGCAGTAAGGGGAAAAAATGTAAATCTTTTCTCCACCTTGTATTCTGTTTTCCTGCTGGGTTTTAGGTGAAAGAAAAACTCATCAGAAATGACTCCAGAGCCAGATTCTGACCTCCTTAGATCCTGCTCCCTCTAATCAAGCCACAGTTGACTGACAGTCAGGAAATAAACCCTCCTTTGAAGGCACAGCCAAAGCAAGTTTACAGCAAATGACTAATATGATCTAATCTTCCAGCAATTTCAACAGTTTCCAATTCTGGAAGATTCATATATGTCTGTTTAACTTTCTGATTCTGTCCTGCAACTGTTCATCGAATTATCTTTCAAGATTCAATCTCAAATATTGCAACCTTTTTCATTATCAAACTCCAGTGTAATATCAGGACCCACAATGTGTCCAAGTCCCACAATATCCACCTGGGAGACATTGAAAAGCCCAAGAAAAAGCCTAACTTATTAGGAGGAGTGGACAAACACTTATCCAATTAACAAATCATCATTGAACTACCACTAGGTGTGATAGCCACTGTGTTAAGTATTGTTGGTGGAACAATCATCCATCAATTTTGGAGACGCTTTAAGTTCCTCTTGGCCAAAAATCTACCCCCCACAAGCCCACTGATGCCCCAAATCCCTTTAATAAGGGACAAAGCC